ACGCTCGAAACGTCAGCTTTTGTAATCGTTACGGTGGCCAATTTACCATTTCAACTTTGTTGATATATCCAAATTATTTCGTTACTCCCACTGACGCAGCCCCAAACAGTTTCTTTCGAAACTACCAGCTTTTGAACAAATATGCAGTTTGCGTAATGCTTGGTGATGAAATTGTTGGATGTTTAAAGAAGGGTAGAACTGGACGCTTTGCAAAGACAGTCTTCTACTTTTGAGGGCCTATGAGAAAAGTTCATGTACTGCTATAGTGAAAGGCAAAGCTGTTAACCTTGGTGATGGCGAGGGCATGCAAGTACCACGCACTCTTCATTTCAAGGGGACACCAAAATTTATCGATGTCTTGCGGCAACAGCTTCAGAGAAACAATTAAATAAGGGAACTTGTGTTCTGTAATCCGAAGCAGTCATTGTACATTTCAGACTGATGACAAATTTTTGGCTTGCTTGTTGTGTGATTAAATACGAGAAAACAGCTTCTTCGAAAGTGTCATTTTGTTTAATGGCGAAATTTTCGCAGGTTCGAGTTGTCGAGGGTCAATTTGTCCCACAGGAACCAAAATTGGTTCGAGTTATCAGGAGTTTCGAGAAAGCGAGGGTTCAAGAAACCGGGGTGAAATTATATTGCCTAACCCGTTGAGTACTAGCCACGCATATATGCGTGGAAAATAGCGTTACTACTGTTGTTATTTGTTTCTTGTTAAACTTAAAAGACAACATTATGTAAGTGTGTACATTGCGCCGGCTGCTTGATGTGACACCTATTGCAGCCTAAAACGCCCACAATGATTCCCGATTTCCATTGCAGTGAACCGTTCATATGGCAACAAATCCCAAAAATCCAGCATTTTGCTCCAAGAACAACACTGAAAAAGTGTCGATCTTTTAAGATGAAAACTTGCTCAAAAAATCAAAAGTTTGCATTCAAAACACGCCTCAGGGCCAGATCTTGGTGTTTGGCTGCAAAATTCCTTCTCACTTTATCCGCTAGCCCTTGTTCATCCATTTGATGCAAGCTAGTGTCACGAACACAACCTTTGCCATGTTTATACCCGAAAAGAATTCCGGTAAATTCCACCATACTCGAGAAGGAAACTCTTAACATTTCCATTTCAACAAATTATGACCAAGTGTCGGCCCACCCAGTCCTACCAGCAAAGTATCACATCGATTGAAACTTTTACCAGTCAAAACTTGCCCAAAAAGCCGTGGTAGGTCCTGGTAGGTCTTGGTAGCCATCTACAGATGGGCCAGAGAGACTACTTCATTGTGAACTCGCCAAGCTTGCATGAAAGCATTTTTGGCAGTCCAGTCTACATGAAACCCCCTCTCACCTCTGTTTTCCTGCAGAGGCTTGCCTCTACCTACATTCCAGCTTAATGATGCCGTCGTGAGGGCTTCTGTAGAGAGAAAATGGCTCGAAAAATAAAAGCGAGAAACCGAATCGATTTAGACGCATCCAGACACGAACTGTTGATCTAGGTCACGTGACCCCAAAGTCTGAGCACAAGGTGTCTCAAAACCGCAAATACTGTAACGGATACTCCATATAAGGACCAACTGTGAGGTTAAGTTTGTATCGCCAAATTACAACTGAAAAATATATGGTATTTTTTGTATTCAAAGGGTTAAGTGAAACAAATCCAAGGGAAACAAGGTTTGGTTCGAGATATCGGGAGGTTGGAGAAACCGAGGGTTCGAGAAATCGGAATTCCACTGTATTTGAGCCTCGTAACGGGATATTTGAGACCCAGCGTAAAAATACAGAGCCCTGTAAACTCGTTTACTCATTGGGTACCTATTTTTTCTTTCGTGCAGTGTTTAGAAAGAGTACGTCCTGAAACGTTCGTCGAAGGCGGTCTGATGGTTAAAGAACCAATCAGCATGCGTCTTTTGTCATAGACCAGTTAACCATTTTGTATCATTAAAGCGCATGTAGTGATTAGGGCTGTTGGGTTTAATGAGGGGCAGGATTTAACTGGCCTTTTTTTCTTATGTTTGTTTGTTAAATCGATGCCGCACCTTGAAACATTTTTGATGTGGTTCTTTGCAGGCCGTCCAAACCCTTGTAAGTGATCGCTGTCGTTGCCATGGAGTCTCTGGCTCTTGCACCATAAAAACTTGTTGGAAAACTGTGCCGAACTTTGAAAAAATTGGAGATTATTTAAAAGCTAGGTACGCGAATGCCGTACAAGTGGTTTACAACAGACGAAAGCGACGCATAAGGCGAAAGGAGCAGAAGCGAATCAAAATCGCTAGAGATACGTTGGTCTATATCGACCGGTCACCAAACTATTGTAATCCTAACCCGACTCTGGGGATCCTAGGCACGTCTGGCCGGGTGTGTAACAAGACGTCCTCAGGAGGAGACCGATGTGATATGCTGTGCTGTGGTGGGGGGTACAACACTCAGGAAGTACGGGAAGTCAAACGGTGCAACTGCAAGTTTGTATGGTGTTGTCGTGTGACATGTGAAAAGTGTCCTCTGATTTATGACCGGCACACGTGCAAGTAACTTTCATGATTTCACCCTCTTAGTGGCAATATTCTTCTCCGTGGAGGTCAACGTTATAATAAGTTATTTATTAATGAAAAACAATTAAGTACTGATATGAACTGACACGGAGGCTAAAAGCCAGCATTCGTCCTTATTCTTAAAACTTCCCTACATCCTGTTTAAAACAAAAGAAAGAATTTGAGAATGTCAATGAATGCCAACAAAGACATGCTTTGAGTCGAAACTTTACTCAACAACTGTGTATCTCGTAATCCAGCTGTGCGTCAACATTTTATAACGTAACTTCTCAGTCTCTGTAATCTGCATAGACACAAACTAAACTAAAAAGAGAAAAGTATTACAGTGAACTAACGTCATTGCTGTGTTCTTGAAATACAGCGTCTTGTTAAAATCGACATTTTCAGTTTTTAGGCGATAAATATCAATCAGGTGATAGCATAACATTTGACGTGTGGTGAAGATTATTTAAATTCAGTAGCACATAAATGGCACGAATTTTAGGATTTTGCAGGATACATGGCTCCTTTAATGTCTGTCACTTTACTATAATGTGTACGGGGACACATTCTCTTTTTATTCGTCCTCTCTTCTTCGTTCCGCTTGCAGTTTACAAAATGACATGGTGTTTCAACTGATGTACGGTTAAGCCAACTATCTTCTAATTCGAGACGATGTTTTTTTTTTGTTCAAAACATTGTCAAGTTGAAGATATCAATTTCAACTCACTTTCCTCCCATTTTCGGGTTATGAAGGCAATGATCGATAATTTATGATGTAAAGTTAAATTGAATTTTCGTCACATATAGAAAACCTTGAAGTTCTTGCTTGTTTTAATTTGTTCAAATTGGCTGCTTTACCATTAATTCTTATTAAAAATTATACTTTTTTCTGTTTTCATTTTGTCAGCTATTTTGTCTAATAAAGCGATTTAAATTTGGAAATGTGCCGTTTCATTTTAATGTTCAGGATACTGACTGAGGATTTCTCAGTCAGTGTTCTGTTTCTCACACTAGTAGTGTGCGATAGACAGCCTTTATCAACTAGCCAACGAAAGTCAACTTATTTAAATGGAAAAAAATTATGAAAATTAGGAATAACTTAGCATGTGAAGTTTTAGATCATGAATGAGACTGATCGTAGATTTTTTTTGCGATGCATGATCGCGTGAAAATTGTAATTACTATTGTTATTGTAAAAAGTGCAAAACTAACTTAGTCTGCTGCAGTTTGTATTGCTTTGAGGCAATTTCTCAAACGATGGGCTTCAGGAAGGCTTCTGGTAAGTCTGTCCTGCAATATTTTTAGCCACAAAGCTATCTCAATCGAGTTTCTGTTCAAACTGTCTGATCTTTTTTCGGCTTCATTTTTAAGGGGGGTCTGGCATCCGATCGACTCAAAGACCAAGCTATCGTTTATGTTGAGAAACCGTAAGAAAATCTACCATTTATTAAATAGAAAGAAGATAGCTATGAGGGATTGAAGAGGTTCTGTATATTTTTAAGGCTTTGCCTGAAATTTCTTTGATTGCAGTTTTTCTGTGAGGAGAAATTCGCTACAAAATCCAGTTACAGCAAACGCTCTGATAACTCCCAGGAAGACTTTATTCCAGGGCTCCCATCCAAGGGCAGGGGGCTTATTATAAAAAAGGGGAGGGGTCTCAACAAAACTCGTTGTGGGAAAATGCAGAATTTTCCCATAGTTTACCTATACCGTTTGCAGCACGCATTTCACTGGTTGAAAAGCTACAATGTGTGAAATAGAAACTAACACAGGCTCACAAATATACGGTGGCCTACAAGTGTCACATCAAATACAAATCGCTGATAACCGGTGTAAGGTAATGAAACTTTCCTCAGTTTTCACTGGATCTGCGCCGCGTTGCCCGTTTTCATGTGCTTAGTGGCTTCGTTATAGGAAGGCTGTAGCTACTATACTACGGTCTGTAAATACTAAAAATAAGTTTTGTACCGCATCACTACCTGGCCAAAAGAATGAGAGTAGTACAATGAACTATTTCGGTAATTTTGATCAGGGGCGGGGTAGGAAGAAAAAACTGATTTATTAGAGAAGCGAGACCAAGTGAAGTTTTCAAGATTAGTTAAGTACAAGATCTCCTCTTGTAACGAAAGGATTGCGGAAGGATTACGGTGACACTAGTAAACAATAAAACATGCAACTGGTACAAGCCACGTGAAAATTTGAAATACGCCGGCTTCTGTTGATGGACAACATTCAACCTCTGACTATTCAAGCGTACTTACCAAAATGTTTTTGTTTTCGTGTGATTTTGGTGCAGGTAAAAGATAATGCAAGCAGATGTAAAAGAGATAACATTCACTTGTTCCTAGAGGGCCTTCTGTTGTCGTGATTCTCAGCAACAACAAAGAAATAGATGGAAAAATTCATTAGTCATATTTAATCATGGAAAGCAGAGAGTTGTTGTCGGTGGTCATAGTACTGAATATGTTTCTATAAATAGGGGTGTTCCTCAAGGTACAGTCCTGGGGCCGGTCTTATTTTCTATTTTTATTAACGATATCAAAGCTGTTAATACTAATAAGAATCTTTTAGTTAAATTTGGTAATGATATAACTATTAGTTTACCAATCGAGGCAAATGTAGGCTTAGGTGAATCCTAAACGTAAGTCTTATCCTTTATTGAATGGTCTGAGAAGAACTGCATGAAAGTCAACTTGACGAAAACATGGGAACTTCTTTTACGAGGAAAGACTTCCAAGACGCCTCCTGAACCACTCGAGATCATAGGGAGGAAAGAAAAACTGAAACTATTG